GAATTTAGTTATTTGGAGATAGAGATTTTGACCTAGATGCCTTTTAATAATTTTGAAAGTTGAGGGCTAAAGTGAAATAGTTACATTTAATATTATTTTGACCAATAATTAGATTTTGATAGAGGAAAAATAAGTTTATTGATGATGGACTCTTTTTGTAGCTCATAATTAATTAAAAGTCTTTGCCTCCAAAAAACGTTAATTCACATAGATTAGACCCAAGATATTGAAGTTTAAAGAAATTGTCACTTATTAGTATTTAATTAATTTGATTGTTAAGATTGGTAGCCACGTGTAGGCATATAGAAATTCTACTTTTTAGTTGTTAGTTGTTGGCCATGAATCTACTTTGATTGTGGTAAGTATTAATTATAAATTTTATTTCACTTCAAATACCACTTACTGATTTCCCTTTAATTGTGCTTACGGAGTACTTTTTTTTCCAAGACTCTATTTCACCTAAGTTTTGCTAGGAATAGATATATCGTATTTGCAAGCCATTCTAACCTATAACTAGACGCATCCAAAATCTATGAAGAGTCAATTCATATCTAATTTCCTTACTCTTATATAGCTTTAGACTTCCAACCACACACAAATTCAATAGAAATAAAGGTTATAGTCTTGTATAAATAGGCATGTCAATTCAACCATATTCACATTAAAAAGAAACGAATCAAACGAGAGAGTTAAGGCAGAGAGAGAAAGAAGCATAGAAAAAAGTTTTTTCACATGCATTGTTTTACAATCCTTCGTAATTTTTCAAATCGATTAAGGTAAAATATTTTTGTACAAGTGGTTTGTTTCTTTATATTTTTATGTATTCAATTAAATATGCATGAATTGCCAATAGATCTTCAGATTTTTTTATAAAGAGATATATATTATACGGGAATTTAAGATGACTTAAGATGAGTATGTCGCTTGGTCACCGATATATTTCATAAGAGGAGTGGTATGACATTTTTATTTATTTTTATATAATTGTGTATGAAAATTGCATGTATCTTACGAGGTATTCTTAATTACTTACTTGCACAATAATTTTACAAGTTAGTGCTGGTCAATTGGATTGTGGCATGACGATGATGTGGTGTACCAAGTGGATCGAAGAAAGAGAAAACAAAATACACATTATTTTTTTCTTTAAATTTATTAGTTGGTTTAAAGTTTAAAGTCATGTTATTTAATTGGTTAGTTGAACATATTTATTTTTTTAAGGATTCAATTTTCATGTTTAGTTTAAGTTTATAGATATTTCAGTTATTTTATTCTTAAAGAAATTTATTTTTATCGTTCCATCCTTAATACGAAAAAAAGACAATTTTTGATAATATTTCAAGATTTATGAAAAATTGAGGCGTTACAGTCTTTCTACGTGGATCACGAAACTCTTATGTGATTGTTAAATCCATCCAAATGTTAAACGAAATGCCTACATGATCCCCATATTATAAAATCGAAAAATGCCTATTCTAAACACTCCTTTACCAATTTGTCCATTGAGGTTTACAAAAGAAAAAGAAAATGTGAATTGGGGAGCAATTTAACAAGTTGCCTATCTACCAGTTTATAATTGTTGCTGTATAATTCACAGATGTGGGTGTAATGAGTGAAGCTATTCTATTTATTCAAGAGATATTAAAGATAAAAATGAAATCGTTGTTGGAATCTTGAGAATTATTTCACTTCTGAGAAGCTTAGCAAGTTATGAAACATCAAATATCGTTGGTAGAAAATGGACAATGGCTTTTGCAGCCATTGAATTTGAAATAGGCCTGTTATAATGGCACTTTTTTTTTTCCTTCCTTTACAATGTTAAAGGTGGGCAGACTTTTTGCAGGAATCATGATTGCACTAGTATACATTGCTAGAACTTGACAGACAAGGAAATCGAAGATTTGGGATTCCTTATGTTTTTGTTGCCGATTCAATCGACTTGAGGGTTAGGCTTAGAGGAGAGATTTTGGGGGAATTCTATTTCAATTTCCAAATTTTCTCCAATTGTAAACTGAAGACATGTTTTCCTTTTCACAAAATGGTATAGGTATTTTTGGAATAAATGAGTTGGCATTTCATTTAACATTTAGATGGATTTAATTGACATGTAAGATTTTCGTTATCCATGTAGGCAGAAAGAGAAATGAAATCCATTCGATGAGTTATGAAGTGGGATGGACCAAATTTGAGTGATCACTAGAAAGTTTGCTGAAATTTTATAAGTAAGCTGTCGTATAGCCCAACGTTCAGTTGCTGTTCGAACATTTAACTCATATGAAATCACTCCACACCACCATTACCACCACTACCACACAAACTACTAGTTGAAACATTCCACACCACCACCACCAACACCGCATGAAGCCACCGCCACCATAAAATAAAAGAAACACATTATGTTACTCGTTGAAATCACTGCAACGTGCTACTATTACTATTTCAGATCTAAATATAGATCCAAATTGATGTTCGATCTGCATCAAGATCTAGATCTAAACGTAAATCTAGGAAAATCAACCAATATAACAATCAAAAATTAAAAGGTAAAACGTAACAACTGCCAGAAGAAAAAGATCGAAACAATAGCTTCATGAAAAATGTTGGAGTCAGATTCAACCATTTATATGTTTGTTTACATATAAAAACATTGATTAGTTCAATTTTAAAAAAAAAAAAAAAAA